CTAGTTTTTATGGTATCGAAATTTAGGACTTTTTGAAAAAGTTCGATAAAACAATGACGGTTTAATATTTTTTGATGCGATTTGCGTCAAAATTCATCAAACAATGTTCTGTATCATATATATGAAAATCAGTCAAATCGAGAAAACTCAATTGAGCAAGGTCCTGTACATTCGGTCGTGGCTTACATGCAATGGCTCTTATGAACAAATGCTAAAAGTAATCGTGTAAAACTTAAACGATGCATTTTGAAAATCGTGATATTTTTTTAAAGAATGCGTTAGTTAAACAAAGTTGAGATGGTCTCGTTGATTTGAGATTTGTCGTATACGTCTGACTTGGATAAAAACGATTTTGTTTTCTTGTATAAGATAATGAATTGACAGCTGGTTCATCATTAGTATGAACACTATTTAACAGTTTCAACATCAAATAACTAATCCAAATGATGGCTTATTGGGTGTAAGTATTGAAACTTTATCATAATTGGAACAACAAATTCAATAATATGATATAATACACCCTGAACAGTTTACATCAAATGTTGAATTTCTATGAAATATGCTTAATAATTTCGTTTATTATGTAAGGTCATTCTTTTTCGAAAATGTGTCTGGAACATCCGAACAAATTGTTCCATCAAATATTATTCAAATATTGTGTTATAATTTTCAGCAAAGTATTACAGAAAGTGTCAATTTTTGGAAATAAAATTAATTTTTCATTAGAGAAAAACTTCAAAAAAAGGAAACCATTGATTGCATTTTTTTGCTGTTTTTGATTGTGTTTTTGTTTTTTTCTTTTAATTGAATAAAAAAAACTAAACGTCTTTTTCATTGATGTTAGATCTAAATTATCTTTAAAAAGGTAACATACAAATACACGATCCATAGTAGAACAAATTTAACTATATATTCCATGAAAATGTACTGCTACTGAAAAAATAATAGCAGCAACAGATCATGTTGCTATTTAATTGGATACAGCTGAAGTTGATAAATAAACAAGAAGAATTATAGGAAAAACTAGTATATATACTTTAACTAATTCAGTTCGAATGATGGCTGTAGTTGATGATTCAATTGCATGATTAGCTACAAGAGATGAATTTATTAATAAAGAATATTTTCTTAAAGATACTAAATAAAAATCAATTTTAATAAGCATCCATTAGAAAAACAAGACAAAAAGTTCTTTCTCAGTTTTGGATTTTTTTTGGTGATCTTTAGTTTTTTTGCTCTACAACAATACGAGAGAGAGAGAGAGAGTATAAAGAAAAAAAATAATAAAATGAAAATTTTTTTATTGTTAAAATTAATGTTTTGATCTTAAATATTTATATTTTTCTCTATTTCACTCGTCCGATGTAATCGATGGAGGAAACCAATTCCTTTTCTTTCTCTAAACTAGTAAAGAAGAAAAAGACAAAAACAATAAAATTGTTTATGTTCAAACGAATATATATATGTTGTTACTTTTCTATTATGTGTTATGCATACTAGAAGCATCATCACATATACATGAAGTAGAAGAAATAAGAGAGAGAGAGAAAAAGAAAGTGAACATACACATACGTCCGCTGCTATTCTTTTCTTCTTTCTCTGCTATCTGTCTCTTCATTCAGTTAGTTAAATAGGCACTGATCGGAAGAAAGAGTTTTGCCTGACATCATAATCATCATCATTACAGCACATATACAATAAATCATCTATTGAAACTAGTAAGTACCATTTAATAAAAAAAACGAAAACAATTATTTTGTTTATTTATTTATTTTTAACTATTGAGTAGAAATGGCTTATTCAAAACAATCAAGTCCATCATATTATATGGAGTTTTTACGTTGTGCTTTATGTTCACATGATTTTGAATATAAAAATCCATTATATCATCCAATAACATTACCTAAATCTGGTCTTACAATGTGTAGACAATGCATTGGTATAATACGTGATGAAACAAAATGTCCACATAATCATGGTCCAGTTGAAATAAATTATATACCAATTGATGAATTACCAACGAATTATCCATTATTATTTATTCTTTATGATCAATCAGAAGTAAATATTAAATACTAAAAATAATTTTTTCCTTTTGTTTTTCTTTTTATTTAAATATAGTTACCTAAAGATCACCGAGTACGTCATGGTCATTGTCAATTTTATACTACATTTGATTATGAAACAAAACAAGGTTTTAAATGTACAGAAGAACTTTTTGGTCAAATATCAAATGTAATTAAAACAATAAGTAAGAAGAAAAAAAACAAAAATTCATGTCTTCTTTTTATGCCATTATTTTTTAGTTAATGATAAAGAACATCAATCAATATTCAATCATTCAATGATACGAAAAATATTTAGTTTATTAAATAGTCAATATATTAATAACGAAAGTGGTTTAAAAATTCTTAAAGCAACACGTAGTCTTGCTGAAGATCTATGCATGGATTTGATTTTTCGTCATCAAAATCCTCAACAAACGGGATCATATTCATTTTTATCTTTAATAAAACAATTGATGAAGCTTATCGAGAAACATACAACTGAGAATGATATAATAGTCAATCGGTCATAAAAAGTGAGCTCCACACGTAAACTCCAAATTTGGAGCTCACTTACGCCTCCATACTTTACCAATAATACAGTCCATGTTTTCCGGTTAATAGCAGTCAGACCCTATTTCACTGAGATACTAGGTTGAGAGTTAGATCTGATGTTCAAAAGATATATTACCTATGACACTATTATAATAGCATTACTTGGGGTGCTAGTAGCATTGCCTAGGATGCTAGTAGCATTACCTGGAATGCTAGTAGCATTATCTGGGATGCTAGTAGCATTACCAATGATGAGGCCTGGCCAAATTCCCAAGAGTCGGGAACCGAAAGGTTGCCAGTGGGGGTCGTCAACTAACATTTAGGAAAAAAAAAATTTTT